ATTTAATTACAGATTAAAAGTTTCATGCAAAAGTTCGTCATATAATTTAATATATATGTTTTCTTATCAGGGAGACACTTTCTCAGATAGTACAATGTCTTATGTTCATTTTTAATGATGTAAATTAGTTTTAATTTCTTAAGTTCAATTTTTATCTTTTTATTTTTTATCTTTTTGTCCTAGGATTTAAAAGATAGTAAGTTGAGCCAAAGTTATTAAAGTTAATGTTGATAGAAAATAATATGCTTTATCTTAAATTTTTATAATACAAGGAAGTATACACTATTTGAAAATTTATCATTTCTTTTTATTTTTGAAGAAGATTAGAAAGATTCGCACATCAGCAATATGTATGAGTCTTCGACAAATGAAATTTTAATTAAGAATTATCTGTTAATATTATCTTTTATTTTAAATATCTAGTTACAGCATTATTGCTTCTTATGTTTATACTAAAAGTTCATAGGTTCAACATAAAAAGTGACATAAAAAGATAAACTTGCCCATTTAGCAATGAATCATGAAACAGACAGATTCACTTAATCAGTCAATGGGCTGTGCTTAATCTAAGCTTTCCTCCTATGAAATTATGAAACAAAAAATTAATCTTTAAGTTAATAAAATAATATAGATGTTTGACAAGTTAATTATTGATTATGTTAATCACGATTTGGAGAGTCGAGTTGGATTCTGAAAAAAGTCAAAAATAGATTGTATTTGATTTGCCATTAATAGATTGTATGCTGTATAATGATTGTAAAAATAACGAATGTTGGATCTTTTCTTTTTATTTCTCGAGATGGAAAATTGAATTAATTCTTTCTAATTTCTATTGTCGAAACGATTATATCATTAATGATATATAAATGTTTGCACGCATCAATGAGATATTCTGATTCTTATTGACTTTTCTCTTGCCGAGGATATTGCATGTTTCCTCGTAATCATGTACTGATAAGAATGTACTTAAAATTTTGATAAGACATGGAATAGCATGTGTATTACCATCGCATTGAATTATAAAAATCATACAATATTCTAAGAAACTTGGAAATTGACAGCAACATACACAAAATGAATAAAAAACCGTCCGTTAGAAATATATTGTGTAAGCTTCCAATGCATAATATCAAATCCATAATATAAACATAATATTATGTAATATTACTGTAACTAGAGATTTTTATCATTGTTAATATTTCTCAGAAACATAACAGTTATATGTGAATATTATGAATCGATTATCACATTTTTTAAAATTGATACAACAAATTGATACAAAGATATGCAAAGAAAATATATTTTGATCAGAGGAATAACTAACATTCGAGAATCGCTTTGTACAAGAATTTCTCTATAGAAAATTAAATATATTATTTATTTAGATAATAACATAGATTATTCTTATCAGAAGCATCGCCACAAATATTCTAAGTTGTATCGAATCATGTACTGATAAGAATGTACTTAAAGTTTTGATAAGACATGGAATAGCATGCTTATTGATATCGAATATCTTTGTCATCATAAATAATGTGATTTTATGATGAAGTTTTTTCGTATTATATATATCCTTTCTCAACAGCATGAACTATTACATCCGATATTCTTTGTCTGTCGTTTGCTGTTTTGATGGTAGAGAACGACATCAAGTCACCGCAATCTACCGCATTATTACCCTCAACAACAGTTTCTATGGAGAATGATTCTGATACATCTATGAGAGTTAATGGAATGGCTTCAAGTGCGGCAAACACACCAAATCCGAACTGTTCCTGTACCTGTAATTAATATCACTATTGTCTTTCGTTACCTAAGAAGAATTAAATCATAAAATGTTTTTTTTAATACCTCTTTCATAAATTGATCCCATGGATAGATTTTTTCTGGATCGGACCCAAGTAATTTGATGGTATCGCTCAATTCCGAGTGATAGATTTTTAACACATCGTCAAAATGTTGATCACGAAATGATTTCAAGGTACAAGAATAAATCAGGAACGATAGATCTAAAATAGGACTCGCGCAACGAGCAATCTGGAAGTCGAGCATCAACGCCTGCTTTTGATTTTGTCCCAATGTTCGCCGGATTAAAAAGTTTGGTGGCCAACAATCGCCCTCGATTATGACAGATGTAGGAGCATCTTTTCTTTTGCAGAATTCTGCGCATTTTTCGTAAAGAGTACCGAATTTGTAAGAATTATATCGTTTCTCAGCTTTGCTGTTGGGACATTCGATAGCTAATATCTCTTTAATTAGAACTTGTACCTTTTCCTGCAAAAAGACTGCTTTAATTTTATGAAAGTCTTAATATTTTGCTGTAACCTGCTTACGTGATAACCTTTGTACCAATCCCAGTGACCGAAGAGGGTTTCTTTTAAGGAATTTGTCATTTTTGCGAATTCTTCCTTTCTTTGGTCTTTGTATGCAAAGGAGATCGCATGGAATCTGGATAATGTCTTCAAAACCGCTATACATTCCGCCCAATCGAAAACATTTTGTCGCGATACTTTACGAAATCCTAAGGAAAAGCCATCTTCTAAGATTAGAAAACCGTTTTCGCTATCTGTAGACGAGATTATGTAATGTGGAATGCATAACAAATCGCTTTGTCCCTTTTCTGCCAAAAAGTTTTCAAATCTGGAGGCGATCTAAAATTAGGAGGACAATTTATCTAATTACACAAATGATTGATATAATTTTTTTCTAAACAAATATACAGTTAGATAAATTCCAGAGAGGAAAGTACGAATCTGTCATAATCTTGCCTCTGTATAAAAAATGATTTCGTTATAGAAGAATTCGTCACATCTGAGAGTCTTTCTTAATCCAGAATTTCTTGGCATTGACTTCACGACAATATTCGCTTCTACATGTTGCTTTGGATTGCCATCGATGACACCACTCACTTTGCCCGTGTAGACACGTGATAAGTAATTGTCACCTTTATTAGATGCCTCATGAAAATTCCAATCTGTTAGTTGCACTTTTTTCCCATTGTTTTTCTTGGAGAGGATATTTATTAACACTTCTTCTGTGAACTGATCATTCACTTCACTCAATGTAGTACACATTTTGACTTATATTTTTTTTCCTGATTTTATGAGCGTCGCAATTAAAATGCAATTTATTTAATATCTTATCTTAAATGACACTATTTATTTGTATCAGTCACTGTTTATATCAACAATGCATAGATTGATGTTATAAGGTAACGAATTAACTATAAATGTAACCAATTCTAGAATAAAGATGAGAATGATGTGTATATGAATTTATATAACTTATCTTGCTAATGGACTTTATCATTGTTTGATAAATACGAGGCATTAGCTAGTGAGTTAAAGAGTAGAGTGGGATATTTGTGATTCACAGCTGAAAACAAATTACATAAACTCTGCTAAGAAATAATATACTTTCAAAGTATCTAATTTATTAATATTTATCTGTAATAATATATATTTAATTATTTTATGTTTAATATTGGCTAAACTTTTTGTTATTAAAATAAGAATTTTTCATATAAAATACTTACCAAAATCAAATTTTATAAAATTTTAAAAAATTTTAAATTAAAAGTTTTTAAATAAAAAATACTTGTGATATTACAACTATTGTCCATTATTTCACATAAAGTCAAAAAGTAGGAATGAAATAATAAATCAACAAATGGGAGTCGAAGGAATTATAATGAAGAACGTAGAAAGAATGGAATTAAAACGTACGTGGTACGATACACGTGCGAATGCAAGAGACAAGACTATTCAAGTAGGTTCTAGAATGGCAGCCTCTGAAGACAGAAGAGGGGAAAAACCAAGGTAGGAGTGGCAACAGAGTGTACATAAAGCAATGAGCGAAAGAAATCTAAGATCAAAAGATTGAAGAGGATAGAAGTAGGGCATCGGCTAACGTCGAAAGACGTTTTAAGGCTCTTGACTCAGCTAGGAACTCTGCGTTGACGATAGCGACATAACGTCGCGGTAAAAATTAGAAGCTTATTCATTCTTGTTCATCTTATTCCTATCCTTATTTCTATCTTTATATCAAGTGACATGCCAATAATGAAATTTGTTATTGCACCTAATTTTGTTATGCGTTTAATCGTACAGATGTGACTTGTCTCGTATTTACCAAATTCGTAGAAATGGATAGCAGCTAAAGTTACTTTCGAATTTTATATGTAAAAGCATATTTTTCACTTTTTTCAGTTGTTAAATTGTGTGTTTTTCTATCTGATTAAACTTCATTTCAAGTGCCTTTTACGATTATAAGGGGAGAAGAAAGAATAGTAGCCATTTATTTTCACAAATGTCTTAAAACCATCTCAAAGTATTGTATTAGTCAAATATCTCTCTATTTGCAAATTAGGTGCAATTTTGTGTCAGTTCTCAGCTTATGACGTCATAATTCTAATACGATCGCAGTGATTAGTCAGAAGTTTTAAAACCGAAATAGTAATAATAAAATCAAAGTATCAAATATAATATCGATAAATATATTTTAGAAATAATTGTATGAAAAAAATTTAAAGATTGAAATGGAGAATAAAGATGGAAAGAAGTAGTATAATAAAACAAAATCATATAAATATGCGCACATACATAACTAACACAATTATATTTACATGTTACAATATAAAATTTGTTTATAGGAAACCTAAATTCGGAAATATTTTTGCGTAATGTCTGTCAGATTATAAATTCTGATAGCATGCGTTATAAAATTGCCCTAACTTATGCTATCTTGATAAATTAATAATATCGTGAACACAACAACCTGTAAAGGCGTATTTCAACTAAAATCCATTTCTTTATAAAAGTATAAAACTCAGGAGTATATTTTACGTGTACTTCGATGTGCGTATGTAATTAAAATCTCATTCGAAAGTAAAACAAGCGTAAGTCTTCGCAAAAAAGCTTTTATTTACATTTGTTTCGTTTCGTTTAGCGTCTAGGTAAATTTATAATTGCAATAAAATCCCACACAAATCGATCGCGCACTCACATTGATCACTTGTTGTGGAATGTGTTTTACATAATAAATACAGTTTTTCAGATAAATTAAAATACAAATCTTGCATATCTTTTTATACAACCGAGAAATGTATAAATTCCAATGTGTCGAATAGAATCCAGTCGGATTCCATTGTAACAGTAGATTCACTCACGACGAGCCCGTATACCTTATTTACAAATGTCCATATATAAACATATACATTGCGACTTATTGATATACGAAGTGAAAGGTAAAAAGTACTATTTTGTACCTTAGAATCTGAGAAATAAAATAAAATGCTGGCCTGTGTGTGTATGTGTGTGTGTGTGTGTGTGTGTGTGAGACGTTAAATCGCACTTATGTCATCTATTCTAAATCGGTAATAGTATTTTTTTTACGTCTTTCTTATTCTCCTTCGATTTATTAAATGTAAACCTGTTGACGTTAGTCGCGACTTGCCTAACTTAACGGCTAAACTTAATGTGACCCGCAATTCTTAATCTAGTCTTAGCCGCTAACTAAATCGTACAATTGGACTGATAAATTATCGTCGACTGTACAAACATCGCTTTCAGCTTGACACAATCATATCCTAATCTCGGAATACCTGAATGAGAATCGTAATTGTTTTCCCCAGTTGTCTGTGTTTGGACCTCGCGTGTAATTTTTGTAAAAAATATACTTCCTGCTGGTCATGAAGCTGATTTTATGTCGAATTTCCGTATCGTAACAGTAGATTCAAAAAAGAATAAGTACCAATTGAACAGGTGGTTAAATACTTTAACGTACAACTATGTAAAACAGTGTTATTCAGGATTTGTACATAATTTTAGGCTTAGAATTAATATATATCGTCTATTCGTATTATTGCCTTTTCTATTTTTCCCTTCGTAGCTGTTTGTTTACAATGTGCAATGATCAATTTCAGAGAAATTAATTTAAGATTATTAGAAATTTCTGAAGTGTATATATGTGATATACTATATACATATATTGATATATATGATATTGTATACTTAGAACATATATATAAAATTTTATTTATTATTTTATTTTTTTACGTATTATTTTATATATTCCTGTATTTTTAATAATTATTATAAAATATATTATAATCTATAATAAATATCTTATAATAATAATAATAATAATATACTTTTAAACAGGATTGACATACGTCAAAGATTAGTTCTTGAGATCCATCATTGCACGTTATAAAAAGATAGTTACAAAGTGAAGGATAGGAAACCAATAGGCAGGAAGATCGACATTAATTTCAAGCCCAAAACTATAAATTCTGGACAGCACTGATTATAAAATAAATCTATACGATTATAAAACTGTTGGGACAATACAACGTCGAAATCTTCTATAAGATAGCAAATAAATAGCCACGTGTTTGTTAAAGCACGTTGGAATTCCTTATGTGGCGTTAAAATCAATTTAAAATCATTTGTTCTTCCAATATGTTCCACAGCCGTGTTCGGTACTAACAGTGAACATAAAACCGAGAGAAAAGCGTTTTCCTATATATTTCAGTGAGACACATTATTTCCTTACTTTTTTTCAATCACATGAATCTTAATAAGTACCAAGTGTCTAATGTAAGATCAAGTTTCGATACCCTGAACTACCCACATATAGGTAGAGGAACCCCAAATGAGTTCGCCGTATACTTTTACTTGCTTATCGAGGATCAAAATAAATATGTATAGATATCGTACGGCAGAGGCTTGGCTCGGACGTCGATGCGAAGCGGGAGAACAGGAATGGCAATTAGGTTGTCTATACACAGGACATATCTTACATAGAGTACGAGATAAAATTAATTTAGACCGAAGTTTGCGAGGACGACGATTCCCGCGAGTGTCGATATATATCCTATGTTTCATCGACATCAATCATTACGTCTGCAACAAGAAAAGAACATTGATTATAATAAATCACTCATAAAAATGAATGATGGAAAATAATTTTATGTAGACATACGTCAAGCAAATCTTTGAACGTACATCGACTATTCGTAATATTAACCTCTTTTCTAAAAAAAAAAAAAATGAATGAAGATCTACGATTAAAACGATTTAAAAATAATATAATAAAATTACAAATTAAAAATATTAAAAGACAAAAATATCAATATTATTATATTAAAATAACGTCATTGAAATTTATTTTTTCGTTACACCTACCGAATCAACGAGAATCACGTTCTAGTTATCGCGTTGGCACAGCCTTTATGTGTTGTTGTAAAGCTGGTGATGAGTTTGATGCTGACTTGGATGTGAGTGTTGTAGCGAATGTTGGTGTTGATGAGGATGCTGATGCTGTACCGTCGGATGCCTCGCATTATATCTGACGCTACCGGCGAGCGAGCTTCCCCTGCCATGAGTGCCGACCATGCTCTGCGTGTCGGACAGTTCGTCCTCCTCCGCACCAAGACTCCGGAACCTAACGAAGCCGTCTTCGGCGACTAGCATCGTCGAGCCGCTAGTCGGAGCTTGTTCATGTAGGCCTTGAACAGGCGTATGCCTCCCACGAGTCTCCGAGTTCCTTAGGGTCTGTATGCCGTTACCATGGCGACTTAAGGAACCCCGACCTTCGTGAGGAAAGTGGCCCATTGTACCTGACTTACGGATGGAATGTCTCTCGAAGGTACCTGCGCAATAAATAAACATTAATTTCTGAAAACAAATTTTGATTAACTTAATATTACATCCTTTAAAAAATAAAATATAAATTCTATATATTCAATTATAAAGATTTTCAATGAGAAATATAAAATAATACAATTTTTTACCTGATATGTTCAAATGTTCGGGCAAAGTGTTCAACGGAAAACTATCGTCATAAACCTGCTTTCCCGTTCTCATAGTATAATTTTGAATCGCTTGGTTCGTGCTACATATGGCAGGGTAGAGTACGTCGTCCATATTTTCCGTGGATGTGGAACTGCCGCAGGGGAACAGAGCAAAACCCGAGTGCGCTGAGTGTTGCTGCATCTGCTTCTCCCGTAATGGATACTGAGATAGGCTAGCAACCCAAGCTAGAAGACCGCAAACGGACAGTTCTAGCAGTCTGACAGAGAATTGCCAGCCCCACCAGAGCCATGGGTACTGTTGTGGACGCTCCTGAACGCCGAATATACCATAGAGTTGCACCAAGCCCATGAGGATAAATAGCAGAGCGGTGGCGATAGTGGTGGTGATGGCAGTGCTCAGAGCCACCGTGGTAGGATCAGCGCCCATCATGTGATTCGCACCGGCCGCTTTATTACTGGCCATGTGAATCTGCGAACGCACCACGCGATATACATACATGTAACATAGACCTAGGGTGACGCAGACGACGATGTAAATGCATTGACAGATGAGTGGCAGAATCCTCGCCTCGTCCTGATAGCCGAGCATGTGCGCGGACACGTGCAGGGAAACGCACAATACGATGTGCACCGTAGATGATAGAACAAGAGTGGTGGGCGAAAGAATGCTGTTGTTAAGCGAGGGAGCTTCCGAGCAGCGGGCGAGATATAACATCAGAGTGGCAAATGCCGTGGATAGGAGCGGCGCCGGCAGATACATCAGCACCCTGGACAATGATTCTGGTAGCGAATGTCCGAGATTATAAGCGTCATAGAAGAGGTGGAAGCACCTCAAAGTACAAACTGTGGTCAGCAATAAATGAACGGCCAGGAAATACGATTGCGTAAGTAAATTCGTTGCCTCGTTGAAGCGCACGATCTTGTAAATCGAATACAGGGCCATGATCGTGAACATAATCGCCGCGAAGTACACGTGCAGCGACCAGGCAATTCGCCACGTGGACTCGAGCGGATGCGTGTCGACATGGGGTATCAGACGTTCGTCGTCGTCGTCGGCATTCGCCGGTCGCTTCGGCGTTGGCGCCGGCGGTTGCGCTTGCGGGTATGGCAGTCTCTCGGTGTCCACTATCTCGATACTGTCAGTCTTCAGACCATGTTCGTTTCTCAGGCCGTGATGATAACCATCGTCGTCTTGCCGGCCAGTATTTGGTAGATTGAAAATCGTCGGCTGGGTGACGGCGACCTTCGATGGGTCCGTGGTACTACCGGACGTTTTTGGCATGACGGTGCTCGGCGCCGACGTAGTTCTATCGGTCGTCGGAGCAGGGGGTACATTCGGCAGTGGGCTCTTCGTGACTAATGGCTTCAGCAGTATGTCAGGGATGTCCTGCTTCCTGCCATTGCTACCAGACAAGATCCTAGAAATACTGGGGTAATGAAGGGTCACGAACGAAGGATCGTTCGTACCGTTCTTCCGATCGGCCTCGCCGGTTTCCGCGGGTCTCTGCTCCTTATCGGGGCTCGCCGGTTTGTTCCACGAGTGAGAATGATGCCTCTCCGGCACCTGAGAGGGACTCTGAGGTAGATCCGGCGGTCGGATAGGTATCCGCTCGTGCGCCGGCGTCAAGCTCGGTGGCGGTACCGGCCTCCTGTTACCGGTGTGTACATCCGAATTGGTACCTCGCAACGTGGGCTTGTCGGCGAACGGATGCAGATACTCCGGCGGCAGGGGTGGCGTGAAGAGTGCCCTGGAGGGTGGCGCATACGACGGCAGATCCCGAAAGACGGGCGATGCCGTGGCCCGCGGCGCTGGATATTTCACAGCAGGTATCGACGAACTAGGGGTGGTCGTGCTAGTAGTCGTGCTGGTGGTTAACGGCGACGGCACCGTCGACAACGTCGTGCTAGCCGACACTTGGGCATCGTACGCCGGCACGCTGCGCTTCGTGGTCGCGGAACTGTGCGCTACCTTGTTGAAGATCGCCGCTAAGTTCTTCTCCAGAGCAGTGTGATCCAGATTGAAGATCGGACTGTTAGGCCCACCGTCGCCGCTCGCCGAACAGACGGTCGAGCAGGATTGCACGGCCAGCAGAGCGGATAGGAGGAGCAGCCGCATCATCGGGGTCATGATGCTCGACCGAGTCGTATCGAGGATGATGATCGCGGACACTCAGATGCCCCTTCCGGGCATCGGTTCATTCCATAACAGGCTCAACGCCGCTTTGCGATGACTACGTCGAGCAGGAAATTCGGAGCCGTAAGGACACTTGTTGGGATTTTTATCGATCTATTTATTATCCCGTGTGTTCCTCTTTTTCTCTCGTTTCACAGTTTCTGTTTGAAGGTACTGATCTCCTCTCGCAATCCTGTCACGTGTCACATTCCTGAAATCGACTGTCTCTCGGTTTCCTCTTTCACCGTGTCACTCCCTTTCCCCGCGACATCCGGCACGTTTCCCTTCGTCGGCGTTATATTTTATAGCTTAGTGCTTTCGCGGTCGACTTGTTCTCTCGTGGATACCGTCGACACACGGCAAAGGCTTCGAACGGGGGTAGGATGGGGTTAATAGCGTCTCCTCTACAGCTATACTTGTATCTACATTCTGTCGCGTCCGCATCAGATAGAATCTCCCTTGACATCTGCGATGTGTCAAGCGATTAGGCGACGTGTAAAGACAGGATTCAATTTCTACCTCGCAGCATCCATCTCCCTTGGGGGTCCACTATCGTCTCGTCTCGCGTGCTCCCATTATATACGAAACACGCGATCCAATCGCCTCTGGATTATTTTGCCGTACTAACTTCGTTACCGTTGTCCCGTAGTCGTTGACTCGATTTAAAATCTATCTACTTGCGCGACCGATACGGCGATGACACGGGCTTGTTAACTGAGTTTGATCCGATATCGCTGCTGTTGCCGCTTTTGCTCCCAGAAGCCATCCCAGATCCGCGAGAGCCCCGGCCGGAACGTGAATCCCCGGGGGAGCATTTAACGCGCCGAATTCGCTTGTATTCCTTCTCGCTGGTGCAGCTTCGTAATTATCGTATCCATTTCTTTAATTGGGATGCAAGCGTGCTCACTGTAATCATCCGTTCCTCCTCTACGACTCCTCGTGATGCTGCGCCTGCCAAAGAAATATTTCGTCAATTTGAGGAAATGACTTGGAAAATAATCATCCTTAACATAGGTGTAGACGAGTAGGGATATTTTAATAAGATTTAGAAGATAATAATTGACTTAGAAAATAATAATCTTTAACACAGGTATAGACGAATAAGAATATCTCGATGAGAGTCGTTTAAAAAAATCTTTGACGTTCGTTTCGTTTCGTCAAAATAATGGGATCGGTTTTACGTATATACAAAGTGATTATTTATAGATAAATTTTGAATTTGCTTAGAGAAACACAGTTTCCAAATTAACAGTATTTATAACACATGATTAATGTTTGAAGTTTTCGATTAATTTCGAATATCAATGCTAGACTTACTTTTACTTTTAAGCAAAAGTTGGGTTTGTAAACAATAATTAGCATAAATCTGTGATTCTATTAAAGTTTTATAACTGGATTTATTTCAAAAATAAATTCTTCTAATTTCTTAAATCTTAATATATATTTAATTAATTCTATTTCTTGCTTAAATTGATTTATTTCTCTATTCTAAGATTTGAAATAAATATATTCCAAAGCGTTAAAAATAGCTCGATTGTGCTTAATAATATAAAACATAATAATAATAGAAAATGGAAGAGAACTGTTACATCGTAAAAAGAATGTTACGAGATGTAGGTATTCCGGTTCTAGCAAGTCCTACGATTAAGTGGCTTTACGTTCCCGATTTCGATAACGTTTCATCGTGCATCAATTAATTCGTATAAACGAATAAAAATAAATGTACACCGACCGCAAATGCACAATATCCGTTACGCATCATTAGTTTACGCGTTATTAATATTATTAGCCCGCAGAAATATGTAAACGAGCAAGTATGCGCTCGACGTAATTGAGTTATTCATAAATACTACTATTTATCGTTATTAAGTTAATTAAGTCCGATATCGGCCACCGCCGCCACGGGGTAGATAATTCACCACCGGTAATTGATCGTAAAATGATCCAAGTGGCGGGATATAAATTTCTGGGATATCTTAGACAATGAAGGAAGTCCTACAAAATGATCGCCCCCGCCTCCCCTTCCGCCTCCCCCGACCCTTAGCGATACAACCAGGAAATTGATTCGACCAGGTAAGACGGAACACGTGGATGAGTCAGTCGAGGATAGGAAAGGGTAACCATCGATTTCTTCCCCGCTATCGTTCGATATCTCGTTTCGCGAAACGAAACTTAATAACGGAGACATCTCTTCCGACCGCGAGGGATTTGATTTTCGATCATTCGGCCGCCGATAATCCTAAATCGACGTGCGATATATCTCATAATAAGAAACATTCTGAATATTCTAGACGGAGAGAATCACAAAAACAAGTTTAAAAATAAAAGTATTTTTAAACGTCGGGTCGTGGCGATATCGATATCGTGACGACAATCTTGCTGTTGTAATATTATGAGGCTCATTCCGAATTTCGTTACGATAAAAAAAGTCATACGAATTCAAAAGCGATCGTCTTTAGACGATTTTAAAGAGATAAATTGAGAAAAGTTTAATTTTACCATTAAAGTTGACGAAGAAATTGAACAATCCCATTGAACCAAGTTCAACTGAATGTCCCATGAACTCACTGCTCACTAGCTTCTGTTTTATAGACGGCTAAGAATATCCCATGACATTTTGTAGACAAAGCCTTGCGGCAAAAAATAGTAGCTTACGTACGATTAAGCGTCATTATTGTACATGCTTGTACAATGATATAATTCTGCGACGAGATCGGAATGGTCAAAGGCCTGACTTTTCACACAGTTCGATATTGCGATTTCATAGACGATCAGAAATACCTCGTGATATTTGAATGGAAAAACGCAAAAGCATAGATGAATAGAAAACGCAAAAAAGCACGTTTGCCCCAACAATCAAGTATGATGAAATATAGATGTATGCCGTAAGCGTTAGTCAACGTGTCATGATGGAATACATACGCTTTCCAGCCTAACAAAAACGACTACGTATAGCTAACTGAGAAACTATTTGTCTCTTTTTCAACGAATATTTTAGTGTCGGTCGTACCTTAAAATATTCGTTGCATGCTACCTTACGTGCAACCTGATTTTCAAATACTGCCGCTATCAAGATCCTATCGAGCGAAAGTGGATAACGTTTGACATCTATGGAACATTATAAAAATAAATCAATCATGTATCGTGAAATCATAATGTATAAATAAACTTCATTCACTCAGTGCTATGCGTTTTGCATACTCCAAAAAGAGCTATCGGAAATTTCGTATAAATTCAAGATATTAATAAATTGCATATTTTTCTGAGAAAACTCTAAACGTATTTTTACACTTTTCGCCTTTTCGCATTTTTTTTTAAATTTATCTTTTTTAGTATAAACGGTTTCTTTAATTTTTCCCAAAATTTATTAATTATCGACATCGCGTGGCATACTTTTAATATCAGAACATATATAAATGAGATCTCATAAAACTAAAAATTAATAAAAGAAATTTAATATCTCACTTTATATACTTAAGACTCTTTTATTGATTATAAATACAACTTTTTTTGCTTGGATTCAAAAAAATCTTGATACTCTGATACTTTCACAAAGAAATAATTCGCTTTTAAATTCATTCAAAATAATTCGCTGATTAAAGGAATAAAATAATTTTATAGTATTCGACGTGGTCATATATATATATATATATATATATATATATATATATATATATACAGTAGAGTTTATCACATAAATCTCACATCGATATATACCATCCGCTTCGATAATTACAAGCTTCGTGACATAGAATCGTTGAAATCGTTCGGGGTAAAAGGGCATTATGCTGATACGTTTGCGATCTGCATGTCACGATAATAGTCTGTGAATTAAGCATTAGATCGAACATTCACCACCAAGTGGACGATGAGCGCACGAATCAATAGCGTAGCTAGACTCGTCAGCCTCGTAACTTGTATTGAAAAAGCATCCGAAAAAGAGCGCTTTATTTATAATGTATTTATAATGAGCAATTTATAAAAACTAATAATTATAAATTTATCAACGATTTTAATAATAATAATTTTCTTATAATATATCAATGTTGATTTTGTTGTTACTTTATACCTCCTCCAATCGAACAATTGTCAAGGATATGCAGTTGGGGAGCGTAACAAACACTTTAAATAACGCCGAAATTTTTCTAAATTTCTCTTTGCTAAAAGCTACAGCTCATCGTCGCTGCCCGGCAACAATATTTCTGATTTTAATCCCGTGCCTTCATTCCCAAACGCACCGCGCCTTATCATTAGCCGCGTTTTGGGCGGCTAGTTTATTTTATTCGGCAAACACGCGACGTTTCGTTGGTTGGTTAATTGGTCGATTGGTTTGCGCATCTGTGTCCTTTCACCCTTTTACGTTTGTCCTCGATCCATCGAATCGCGTGATCGCACTCGCCGATGCTGCGCCAATACACAAACCCTGCGGGCGATTTGCTCGATAGGAGTTGATTAAACCGAATCAATGCAGCTAATAATATCGTTTGTCAAGGCTCAAATGCGTTTACGCGACCGAGCTGGTAATTTTTGTCATCGTTCTGTCGACCTTGTTGAGCTTGTTACTATTCTCTCGTCCGTGAATACAAATGATCTGGATTGTGATACTTTCGATTATCGCGATTTTCGTGCTCCCCCCCCCCTTTACCGAACGAATGCCAAGATATACTAACAGCTCCGTATTAATAAATAGCTTCCACCAATCAATACTTCATTTTCACCTTTAGCAAAAATTTATATTCCATTTTTTAGCCTGTTAATTATGTAAAAAGAAAGGTAACAGATGTTCTAACGAGGTAGAGCGAAAGTGTTTTTACGCGAAAATTTAAAGGTCCTTTCTTCGAAGTTCTAAGAATGATGGATCGCAAACGGGGAAAAGTCTGTGACGTATATGTTGACACAAGTTGTTAGTTAACATGGCGAGTTCAAATAACTTCGCGTTTCCCCGGCTTAGTTTAATTAATTATACGAATGTCAGGATTGGCATGTTAGGGGGCTGGGCCAGTTCACATGCTTCCGTATGATATAATATCTAGGTAAAGCTACCTAGCTGTTCGTGACTAACTACCGTCAGTGGATGGCAAAAGGGTGGATAGGGTGTGGAACCGTAACCAAATGGGGCACACGAAGACTCGGCGGAAGTGTTTACATCTGCGATTGGCGAGCATTGATTATTCTTGTAATTTTAAAGTTACCAACTTTCCTAAATTCTACGTTTCTTAAATTCTACGCCCTGAAGTCTCAATTCGCCGACGCACTTTTCCAACTTGCGCGTTTATTCTTTCAAATCTCCATTTACCTTTTTACAACTCACTTTCGAAAATGTATCTCCAATTAAAATTTAAAGAGGCCTGCTAAATCTACATATTTTTATATAAATTAAATATCACTTGTGCTGTATGAGAGAAATTTAATATATTTATTCATTTAGAAAGCGGTATAAATTCTACCAAGTGAAACAATACTCGGCAAACGATTATTGAAAATGATAACCTTTTGTTACAAGTTCCTACTGTTCTCTTTCATTTTGATTACAACGTTCAGGAAATAAATTATTTAGCAAACGTCATATGGTTTTTTAAACATTTTCACAATTTTCTATAAAGCAGTTCAATGAAACCGATTGAATGAAACTTGCATAATGTATCGTAGTCGTCCGTAAAAATATTTTCCAATTCGTGAAACATCAAGGGGTTGCAGACAGCGTTTTCAGGGGACAAGAACGCCGGGGAGAGAAATATTTGTTCAACGCATATTAATTTCGACTAAACGATTTCAAAATATGTTTGCCGTAGCCATCGACAGGAACTTCGCTCATTGTAACAGCAAAATATTATACAATAAATATCACACTGATAAATATTCGCGAGCTGTGTTAAAAACGCTTTTGGCGAATCAAAAGAAAAAATCCAACGTGATAAACTCAAATATCCGTTTATAAAATTGTAAAGCTCGGCTTATTTATCGATACCCTTAA